AGGGAATGTGTATTTTCTGTAAAASATAAGGACATTCAAAATCCTTTCAGAGTATACTTTGTCTGAAAAGAAAGTTAACATGGCTCCAAGGTGAGACAATAAATATCAACTTTAGTACTTCCCACAGAAATGTAAATTGCTTTTGATTCTTTTTACTGATTGATATTGAAAATGATCTCTTCAACATATTCACAACTTACCAAAGAATGTACTAATTTTTTTTTTCTGGTAAAGGTTCTACAACTGATACAGCAGCTACAATTGGGGAAATCTTTTGTTAAATGTTCAATGCACTTTTATCTACTATAGTTCCTCTAAATTTTCAACCTTTGTATTTTAAAGACTGGAATAAAAACTATGTATTTTTTCTTGAGGATTCGTTATTGCTTCTGATCTTGGAAGAGAAGTGCAATTTTATGGATATTCTCTTGGCTCTTAGTGCATTATGGCATCAATGAGAGAGTTTTTTCATCTGTTAAGTATATTCTGTTTTCATAATCATTCATAGATCCAGGAAATAACCATTGGTAGGTCTAGAAACCCACTGGACTAGTTACTCATTGGACTTAAACCAGGATCTTATATGTCTCCTATGTTCTGTAACCCTCTATCTAGCAGTCATGATGATATTTTTTGTTCCCTAATATTAGTAACACTTAGCCCCTATGTTAATCAGTTCTCAAGATTTTTATTTCAGTATCTGTTTTTGTCTTGGATAATTACTCTGGTAAATGACTCTAGATCCCTACAAGGAAATATTTGTTGGAATATTTATCTTATAGTTTTGAAGTGGCATCCTAAAATTCTTTAAAAGACTTTCCCTCCTTTTTAATTGATAGTATGTAAGTCTGGGAACTGGTCTAGATAAGAAAACTGGGTGAAAGATCTTTTTGTTTGTTTGTTCCTTTTTATTGCAGTTTCCATTTCTGTTTTACCAAGTTGCAAGATACATAACTCAAGCAGCTCTAAATCTACTGAAGTGCTAAAAAGATTATAGGCTATTAGCCATCACCACAGATCTTTGTGGGTCAAAGCATTCTGGCTTCTGATCACACCCTGCTCTTCCTTATATTTAGATAGCTCCTGATAGTTAAAAGCTGTCATCTAGTTTCTATATATTTGAAATCATCCTGAAATTAGAGAGACTAATTCCATGAAAACATTTTCTATTATCAATCTATTGACATAACACTTCTCAAGCTACCTTGTCTCTTTAACTATTATATCCCCTCTTCTTCTAATAAAAGGAGTTGTCTCTGGGACAATACAAAGAGTACATATCTCATTATCCTCTTAAGGCAACTTCATTTCATTCTTCATAGATACCATTATATCAAAATTTYAATAAGCTACTTCTGAAGTAGATTAAAACTGGATTCAGTATTCTTTTCCAGGAATGTCATTGGGAAGTCAGGGAAGAGTATTTGTATGTCTATAAACTTTCTTCTATCCAGTTTTAAAAACTATTTCCCCCCTAAAAAGAGTCCTGGTAGTTTTTGTTAAATACTGAAATTTTTAGAATAAGGTATTTCTTTCTTGTTGCAGGAAACATTAGTATTGCTTTGGGGTATTAAATGAAGGCAGTGAGATTTTGAAGACTGTACTACCTTATGAGGAAWCTGTCTCAGGTAAAGCTTTGCATTTTTTCCAGGCCAGTGGAGGATTCTCTCTACCAGTCTGGGGGAGACAGCTTCAGTCAATTTGGAAGGGTCAAAGCAATATTGAAATACTTTTTTTTTGAGATGCAACTATACATATATCCACCATTCTAAGTCCCAAAGTATGGCCTCTTCCCTTTTAGGGCCCTCACTGTAGCACAAAAGCCGCGTTGAGCATATGCATTTTGTCTCTTGTTGTTTGTCTTTTTTTTCTTTATCTTTGTGACCCTCATAGTTAAAGCCTAGGTCTTATTTCCAATAGTCTCCCTTAGGATGGAGAGTTAGGTGAAAATAACTGATTCAGAAGGAGATTTTAGGAACAAGAATGAGGGAAAWGGAGAGTGAAACAGGTAAAATATACAAGAAACACAGGAATATAATAGGTTGGTTGTGTGCAATGGGAACTCAGTTCTCTTAGAATCATCCTAGAAAAGAATCTTTTTACCTGAAGTAAGAGTGGTTGAAGGACTTACCCACTCACTACCATCCTCAATGGTTGAGGGTTTCCCCAGGGTCATTAAATCTCTGCACTTCTGGGCATCACTTGATATTGTGCCAAAAGTTTTCCCAAGGTATCAGACAAGGCCATGGGGCAGAGAGGGAAGATATATACAATTTGATGTGATACATCACTGACAGTTGGTGTGAGACTAATCTGAGTTCACACAGAACTCTTCACTGCTGCTCTGCTGGAATTAACTGGGCTAAGGAGATGAGCTACACCGGCACCAGAGTCACCTACTTTAGGAGGTGAAATGCAGATGCTGTACTCTACATTTGTAACTGCAGGAATCAGAATGAACTGGCTTTCTGTATAAACTCCCTTTATACAGAAAAGCAGAGGAGGTGAGCTGAAAAGAAATCACAGGGACAATAGGTATTTGCAGGAAGAAGACAATCTCAACAGAAAAGAAGATGAAGAAAATTCTTGCATCTTGCATAGTGAAAACCAGCTAAGACTGTCAATTAATCAAAAATTTWAAAAAAATAATAGTTGATGTGAGGAAAAATACATTTCCGCAAATGATTAGAAATTAATGAGGAACTGGAAGAGATAAAGTAGAGGGATAGACATATAGATATATAGAATTAGATGCAGATATATAGACACCAGTATTAGAAAACAAACTAGCAAGGAAGAATAATCTGAACAAATAAAAACCATACACCAGAAGTTGTTTGCTATGARGTGTATTTTAAAAATTAACAGATGGAATAAGAAGCTGTTAACTTTGAACATTGGGAAAAAACAGATGAGATTCTTTAAAACCTCAAACTACTCTTTTCCCAATAGTATCAAACTCAAATTTAAAACAAAAGTGACAACTAATTTTTAAAAAATTCTACAGAAACAATAGCACAGAAAAGAAAAAAAAGTCAGAGATAATGTATAGATTTTCTRGAATGCATGGACTAGCAAAGAAAATTTGAGTAACATAAAAAATATGACAAAATTCAAACTGTAAAAGATCAATGCATTTAAATGCCATGAAAAGAAAAATACTTGTATTGAGTGTAATGTGTTTATTAATATTCTTTAATGATGAGAATTACTAGTTGTGAAAATTTTAACTGAATCTGCTTCTAGTACACAGATCAAGGTAAGAGTATAACTATGGAATATGTTGTAAATATTACTTTATGTCAGCTTTTCTTAGGCATAATATATTATTTTAATGATTTTAATGTCTTCCTTGTAAGTTTTTTGTTTCCTATAGAACACTTTTTCTATTATTTTCATCATCACCTATTTTGAATAATTTAAAAAATACAAGTATATTAGAATATAAATTTAGGTTATTAAACAGAAAAAAAAATCTCTAATAATAGAGAATGTGAAATACTACACTAAATGATCAAGTCGTATTCTTCATTGAATTAAGAGGATAATAAATACAGATATTTCTGCTTTGAAGAAGAAATATGCCTAACTTATAAAGAAAGGGAAGCGGGTCTGGGATTATATCTCAATGGTAGAGTACCTTGTCTAGCATGTGAGGCCCTGGGTTTAATCCTCAGCACTGCAAAAA